TGTTATGTAGACTAATCAAAGTAGAACAAAGAAATGTTTGTTGTTGTTTTTTTAATATGGTCAATATCATAATGAGAAATAATAGTGACAATTTCAGGCTTTTATCTTTAATAGTTTCTGAGATATTGTGGGTCAAAAAGCCTCAAATTTCAATGTGCCAGAAAACCTGCTGACTTGTCCATAGTTTATGATTAAAACAGCTTCAAGCAGCTCAGAGATGGTTGAGCAGAAGGCCTCTGATGATTTGAGATGGAATAACCCATCAGCCTTCACACCCTCCTGTCCTGCTCAGACAGCCTGTTAATCATGTGTTTTAACCATCGGATCAACCAAAATGTCTGCCTTGCTGAAACTGATTTTTAGACTGAAACTTTCTCCACGTTCTGACTTGAACGTGACGCCGTTGTGCTTCGTGTCAGTCTGAGGTCACCTGATGCATCAGGCGAGTGTTTAACAGCAGGTCGACCCATCAGTAACTCTCGTTCCCGCTGACTGACCCGGTGTTTCCTCCTCAGGTGCGATCCTGGGCCGCTCGGAGACTCAGAAGTGTGTCCACTACAACTACAGCCCGTCGTCGTCCTCGTTGACGCCGGAGAACCAGGGGAATGTCAGCGGGGTGGTGACCTGCTCCGGGGAGAAGGACAAGAGGCTGCACTGCTTTGCCACCTGGAAGAACATCTCCGGAGTGGTGCAGGTGGTCAAACAGGGATGCTGGCTGGACGATCGCAACTGTTATGACAGGTAGAGTCATGCACAGTTATATTTATTGGGCAATTATCGATAAATGAAATGTTCTACTCTCTGTCTGCGGCCTGAGAAATGTCTCTCGAGCAGCAAAAACTGAACAAGAAACACAAACCAGGAAGTTAGCTCCTCTTGCAGTAGCTAAGGCTATGCTAACGGCTAGCGGCTAAGCTAGAAGGCAGCCACAGATGAACCTGAAACAGAGTCTGGGAAACAATAATTAATAATGTTTTAAGATCTGGACCTTGGTGGGCCATAAAAGTGAGAGAACAGAGAAAGATTAAGAAAATAGAGAAGACAAGCAGGAGACAAACTGATCGATCTCAGTCGAGCCACAAAAACAGAGGAGATAGTTTAATCACTCCTATTTCTATTTTACATATTCAGTTCTAGTCACTTTTATTAATGAAGAAGCCTAATTATGATTGACAGGTTCCCCGCTCTCACATGCTGTACAAACATCACATTTAATGTACATATGTTCCAAGTACCGGTTATTCTTGATTGCCAATAACTGGCAGCATTATCGGCCCTGATGAACCCATATCAGTCGATCTCTGCCGGACCCAGAGTGGGAGCAGGATTGTTTTATCTTCAGATTCCTGTCAGCATCAGAAACTAGAGGTGATTGTTTGTGCAGCGCTGCGAGCTCGCCGGGCGTCCTGCGCTCTGAGGACTCACCTGTGTGCTGTCAACATACTTTACCTGTCAGATAGCATCAGTAACCTTCCCCTGCCCGTGTGTCTGCTGTAGCGTGACAGCGGCGTGTTTCCTGACTGCTCGTGTCTCGACATGTTGTTGAACTCGTTTACCTGCTGCTCTGCTGACGTGTTACATTCAGATGCTCTGTAGTCAACAAGTCCCATAGAGCTACACATCAGTAACACGCTGA